TACACTCATTTGCCTTGAAATACTTAGCTATGTCCATTTCTGTCGTTAAAATTAAGGAAAAAAAACTTTTTTGGTACGCCAACTTCACTGTTGTGAATTTGTGTCCAATTTGTGTTTTTTTATGGAGCGCTCAGGTGACAGTGTTGCTGCAGCAGGCGTGTTTATGGGAAAAATAGGCAACACGTTGCTTTTTTCCTGATAAAAAGGCTCAGTTTAGACATGATGAAAGTGCACGATAAGTCAGATAACAACCTTCATTTGTGGTACCATTAACCAGGCGGTCATTGACCCTTGCTCTGTGAACAGTGTTTGCTTTGATATCATTTGCTGCCATGCTTTTTAAACACACTCACACTCACACACATACATTCTTCCACTGTTGTGGGTGTTTGTTGCACAAAGCAGCTTCCTCAGTCCCCGGAGTCAAAGGTTGAAGTTTTGTTTTTGTTTCTTCTGATGCCCATGTCACCGATTGAAGCTATGCTGCGGGGCAGCTTATTAATGAGTGAAATAGCAGTGGATAGTATTCCAGTTGATAACAATGCAGTAGAGTGCTGTAAAAAAAAACTTGGCTTACATGCGGGTTCAAGTGTTCACTCTTTGAAGCACCGCTGCTGTAGTAAAAGGTGCTGGAGCTTTGATAGACTCGTATAAATGCCCTACGCACTCTCTATTGGTGGAGGCTGCGCCAGTGATTCCCGTCTGCATGGGAAGTGACCAGTTGTCTTGTGCTCACGTTTAATTGGCTGAGTTTACTGACAGCACTTGACTCAATAACCGTTTATGACTCAGGAGTTTTACGAGTTGTTTTTGGACACGGTAGGAAACACATGAAGTTCAGAGTCAACTGCCAGTATGTGACTGGGAGGTTTATTGATTGTGGCACCAAAACTGAAAAGCTGAGAAGAACACACTGTTATTTTTACTGCGTAACGCTAATAACCCCACAGCTACATCTTATTCAGGAGACATGACTGAAACTGGTTTTATGTGGAAATAGCATGACTGTGGTGTGGATAGAAGTAATGTTAGAAGGAATTTCCAGCCATACACTAAACTATATTAAGCACAAAACATAAAATGCTAACACTTTTTCCGTTTTTTAAATCCTAAATGAAATTTTTCAGGATGAAAACACTTCAAACTACCAACAGCTTCTCTGACAAGGTCATACTTTATTAGTCCAACTTTATTTTTCCACTTTCTATTAATACATATACTTAGAAAAAGGGTAGTCGTCAACATTTAATTTAGCTACGCCACAAAATAGTCTTTTGCATTTCTATAAGTATCTGTTCAGAGAAAAAATTGTACAATGTGGTGTTAGCCATGCTGCAAACTAAAAACACATACAAGTGGCCTTACAAAATAACTTCACTTGAAATAATTTGTTTATTGTTGTTTTTTTTCCCCTAAAATACTAATTTTGTGTGACATGTGGTCAGGTGAAATTTTTTTTCTACATTTTTCTCCTCAAATTAAAGTATTTTGAGAATTCTTCTAGAAAAAACATTTTTGAGAATATTTTTAATAAAATTTCAAATTTCGCGTTTCATGTGGTCAGATGGTGAAAAACTTTGATCAAAATGTTTGAAAAAAAATTAAAATTTGTATCTATTCTACTGTTTCTCATCAAGTTAGGTCATTTAGAAAACATTTTTTGGCGAAAAATTTCATAAAATTTTCTTTCAAAATGAGATATTTTTGTGTCGTTTTTGGTCAAAAGCTAAAATATTTTGATGAAAATTTTTGTAAAATTATTTTTAATAATTTTTTTTCCAAATGTTATCTTTTCTTGCATGTTTCTCGAAAAATCATTTTCTTTTATAACATTTTCTGTAGAAATGTGAACTTTCCACGTTGTTTTGGGTTTTATTTTTAGTAAAATTATTTTTAAAAATTGTATCTTTTCTTGAATGTTTTGTAAAAATCAGGACATTTGGATAACGTTTTTTAAAATTTTCTTTTATAAAATATTCTATCAAAATGTGACCTTTCTGCGTCGATTTTGGTCAAAAACTAAAGAAATTTGATTAAGTTTTGTAAAATTATTTTTTAAAATTGTGTCTGTTTTTGCATGTTTGTCATAAAATTAGGGCATTTAGAAAACATTTTTTCAAATTTATTTTATTAAATTTTTTGTTGGAATGTGATCTTTTTGCATCGTTTTTGGTCAAAAATGTAAAGATTTTGAAGAAAATCTTTCTAGAATTATTTTTCCAAATTTGATCTTTTCTTGCATGTTTCTCAAAAAATTAGGGCATTTGAAAAACATTTTCTGAAATTTTCTTTTGTAAAATTTTCTGTAGAAATGTCAAATTTCCATGTTGTTTTGGGTCAAAAACTGAAAAACGTTGACAATATTTTTAGTAAAATTATTTTTCAAAATGTTATCTTTTCTTGCATGGTTCTTAAAAAATTGGGGCATTTAGAGACAATTTTTTTGAAGTTTTCTTCTATAACAATTTCTTTCAAAATGAGATATTTTTGCGACGTTTTTGGTCAAAAACGTAAAGATTTTCATGAAAATCTTTGTAAAATTATTTTTCAAA